TAAAGGTGATCTCCAGGCAGTGCTGAACAGCAAGATAGAAAAGAAAAAGATAGAAAGCAAAAACATCAACAATGAAATGCATGAGAGGCCATGAGCCACCCAGCCCAGTGAATCCAAACATCCAAACAATTCAACACCAAGGTCAGAAATCACCAGTCCCGTACCAGCCTGCTCTCACTCAAAAGTAGTCAAATACAACAGCTTGCACAGTGGCCTTAAGCTTCAAACTATGGTGTGTGTATCTATGTGGACGTAGTTATGGCAGGACTGACAAACACACTTTCACTCAAGGGGCTGGTGATTGTGTCCCATTTGATTATTTAAAGTTTAAAGTAACATTACGTAACTACATAACAAACAAACTAATTTTAACTCAAAGCATGATCTTTTCCTGAACTTAACCAAGTTGTTTTAATGCCTAAACCTAAAAAAAAGAAAAGTAAATGTAAATAATTTAATTCCCGACCCCCCCCCCCTGCTGCTGTCTGTGTGTGTGCGTGTGTGTGTGTGTGTGTGTGTGTGTGCGTGCGTGCGTGTGTGTGTGCGTCTGCGTGTGCGTGTGTGGATGTAGAGAGACTGAGGGAGTGGGCAGGGCTGGCTAACGTACGCTTTATTCAAGCTCCATTTGGTACTGATGCATTTAAACAGTTTTGCTGGACAACTAACGCTACCAGTACATGTGAGCAAGCTTATTAGCGTAGGGTAACAGCATTGCATTGATATAATAACAAACCAAAATATAGTTAACTGCTGCATCATTTACCTCATTGGTATGTACATGTTTAAGTACTGATCATCATGTGCAGGCTATTTAAATTGTGTTTTTTACAAGGAATTTAACCCTCTTGAGTTACACAGAAATATAAATAACAGCTGGGGACAAGGACAAGAAAGCTGGTAAAATAAAGGTAAGGAATAGACAGGACTGTTATGTACAAAAGAAGTGGAAAAATAGGTGTATATGACTGACAGTGACCAACAATGTAATACAAATGAAAGGTCTATATACAAGTCAAGAGTTCTGAAAATTGTAAACATTACAAATAGTGCAAGGAAATAAATACTGAAAGAATATTCATAGACTGGGTGATTACAGTATGTACGTGTTAAGATCTCTCTATACTGTTTATACAGCGTGTATGATCTATATTTACAGTGACAGATGTGCATGTTAAAAAAATTGTGGATTAAAAACTGAAATTATAATCTCTAGTGGCAGCACTGGACATTTTGGATTTAGAGGGTTATTGACAGTGTATGAGAGTGACACCCTGCAGGAAGATCAGGTTCAGAGCAGTTCCATTTTCCTTTTTATTAGTCGTATGTAGCTTAGCACAGGGTCAATGGTACAATAGAATTTGTTGAACAAGAAAACAGGCCAGCTCAGCAATAAAACAGCTAGTCATAAAGCTGATACAGCGGGTAAAATAAGTATTGAACATGTCACCATTTTTCTGAGTAAATAAATTTCTAAAGGTGCTATTGACATGAACTTTTCACCAGATGTCGGTAACAACCCAAGTAATCCATACATACAAAGAAATCCAAACAAATTAGTTCAGAAATTAAGTTATGTGTAAAAAAATAGAATGACACAGGGAAAAAGTATTGAATACGCTTACTGAAATTGATTTAATACTTTGTACAAAAGCCTTTGCTGGTAATGACGGCTTCAAGACGCCTCCTGTATGGAAAAACTAGTCGCATGCATTGCTCAGGTGTGGTTTTGACCCATTCTTCCAAACAAACAGACTTCAAATCTTGAAGGTTCCGTGGACCTCTTCTATGAACTCTGATCTTTAGTTCTTTCCATAGATTTTCTATTGGATTCAAGTCAGGTGATCATCTGGGCCATTCTAGCAGCTTTATTTTATTATTTTTTTTACACATAACTTAATTTCTGAACTAATTTGTTTGGATTTCTTTGTATGTATGGATTACTTGGGTTGTTACCAACATCTGGTGAAAAGTTCATGTCAATAGCATCTTTAGAAATATATTTACTGAGAAAAATGGTGACGCGTTCAATACTTATTTTACCCGCTGTATGTAGGAAAACATAAAGAAAGATGATAAGGTGACTATTCATAATGCTTTGATTGTTACAATAATCATAACACATTTGAAATACATTTCAATTTAAAAAGCGCCTTTCATGATCTCAAGGACACTGTACAGTAAAAACTAAAGTAAAGTAAAAAAAGGAACTATAAACTTTACTGTCTCGCAAAGGCTCTAACAGGTTACATTTGTTAGATGGAAGATCGAGGCATCTCCTAAAACTAAAGATTCTGCGTATTCCATAGATATGTCTTACAGTTCCATGGTAAATACTAATTGTACTAACTTCTGTCCATCCTGGGAGAGGGATCCCTCCTCTGTTGCTCTCCCGAAGGTTTCTTCCTCTTTTCTCCCCATTAAAGGTTTTTAGGATGTCGCAAAGCACTGAATGGTTTAGGGCCAAAATACACCAAAATATCATATGAAAATAGTGCACGAATGGAAACAGTGTTATGTTGTTATTGTGTCACTTGGCACTTTTAACTTTCATGTAGATGCCATAAACATCACATGAAATAAAATGCATTAAGTGAAGTTGAATGTCACTATGGCTGGGTCCTTCCCATTTAGGTCCCATTCCTCCAGTGCGGTTTTCAGTAACTTGTGCATTGTCCATGTCTGTAAAACACGTAAAACTAGTCCCCAGTCATCAGAGATGGGATGAGACATAATCATAACATACGACTGGGAGGGTCTAGACGTCCACACATTGCACGTCAAGGCTACTCTCTCTGCAGGCGTGAGCGGTGTTTCTTCAACTCTTTGTCAATCCTTCAAACAGGGTTTTCAACCATACTTTCCAGCCTCATATCTTTGCAACTGACATGCACAACCAACTCTTTTATCTCCTTAGCAGCTGAGGTAGATCTGAGCTTGTTATGGTACTATCTGCCTCCAGTCCACAGGTTTCAGCGGAGGTTGCAGTGCCACTATTTTCACTTGCATGGTGTCTTGTCAAGTGACTCCGTAATATTTTCCGCCATGCGAGCTTCTACTTTGTTGTGAGATGCCATGTACTGATACTGGCCGGATCATGTTACAGGCCGGGAGGTCACTGGCCTTAGCTTAGTCCGCACTATAGCGACATTTACAGAAGGAGGTTGTGTGACACACACAGGGATTTGAGTATTTGTATTTCATATTTTTCTCTTTCCTCTGTTAAGCTCCTCTCTTTATCGGATCCATTGTCCTCTAAGCCCCTTCTGCTGCTCCATTACCACTCTCACCGTGCAGACACACACACACACACACACACACACATATATGTTTATATGTATATGTATATATGTATATGTATAAATGTGTATGTATGTATATATATATATGTATAATGACAATTTGAATGAAAAGGAGAAACGACCAGCTGGAATATTTATTTACGACATTTCAGCCTGCTTGACCTTCAAATATTTTAAATTAAATATTTCGAAAATGTTCCTTGACCACTTCTTTATGAGGTCTTGACACGTTATAACAATGTCATGTAACTTTGGTTCTTGCTCCAGACAACAGAAAAAAACAACAACAGAGGTCATTGCATTTGAACAAACTTCCGGTAATGTCCTTTTTGTCTTACCATAACATATGTGTAATCATTCTTCATATCACTGCACTGTGTTTTTCAAAAAATGATGCTTCCAGACAATGAAGCTGCATTGTTAATTACGTTTCGAGGGAAACATATTTTCTTCCTGATTAGGTTTGTATTTGAGGTATCACAAATAAATGTATTTTCAAACTTGGTGGAAGTCTATGTTAAGTTGAGGATAGATGCATGAGTGAGTCAAACTAATTTGACTTTCACCCAGGAGGCAGGGCTCATGTCCCGCATGAAACGAATAGTCAAAGTGACTATTTAAAATCACGTTTAATGACCTATGTAACTTTAGTTATGCAATAAACAAACTTATTTTAAGAATCATGATCATCAACCGAAATCATGATCTTTTACGAAATATAACCAAGTAGTTTTATTGTATTTTTGTTTTAATTCCCATTAACCATGTATTTAAAACAGCTCCCATAATTCGAGATAATGTGTTTCCCTCAAAACGTAATTTAGAGGGCATTTGTTTGGCAAGATAATGTTTTGGAGACAGTGTTGCACTGTGTCATTACTTACATTTCGGCCATAATTACGCTGGAACATTATCTCTTAATTAAAACTATAGAAATAGGCTCACCATTCCTACAACGCTGCCATCACATACATACCATGTGACAAACAGTGACATAAAGCACTAATGTGGAGCCGTCACGCTCGTCACAGTCCTGCTGCAATGATGGGATTTGTAGTGTTTGTCGAGTGTTTGCATCGGACTGCTCTGGCAGGCACTCGGCTTTAACCACTAAGCTTAGAATTTTACATTATAATGTAAATGCACAGCCATTATACAATGTCTGCGTGTTAAAGAGACCATTTGTCTGTAATTACAGCACACACAACATACACATTTAATGATTCTGTGGGATTATAGTCGTCGTGTGATGGTGAAAGCCACATTCTTCAGACAGTGCACACACACACACACACTTACACACACACACAAACACACACACAGTGAAGTGTTAGGAAAAGCATTTAATTTCAATAGAGTGACCTTGTCTTTGGCAAAAATAATTTGAAGATGAGAGGGTGGAGGGACAACAGAGAGGGATCAGACAGGACGGGTGAGGAAGCAAGAGAGCAAGCCAAACCTAAAAGAAAAAAAAACGAGATACGTGAAGAAGGGGAGGGTGAAAGGACATAACTGAGAGGGAGAGGATTACTTACCGTTTTAAACAAATAAATCTGTATTGTGTGAGTCTGGCACAGGGAGGGAGGGCGGGCAGAGAGAGAGAGAGAGAGAGAGAGAGAGAGAGAGAGAGAGAGAGACAGAGAGAGAGAGAGAGAGAAAGAGGGGTTTATAGCATCAGCAGACCAGCAAAGATCAGCGGGAGAGACGAAAATGACATATAACTGTTTAGTTGAAGTAATTTTCTTTTTTGAATAGATAAGTAATATTTGTGGTGAATATTTTTTTTAATTCCTGTTAGTAGCAATGATGCGACTCTGAGCAAGGACAAAGGGAGCCACCTGCTGCACAAATGCCTCGAGGAAAAGATGTAATCTGGAGCTAAGATAGACAGATACAAGTGGGTAAAATGAGTGTGTGTTTGTGTAAGGCAGAGAGACTTCAATTGTGTGTGTTATGTAGAACAGTATAGAACAGTATTGTATCATCTGACCTGTTAACAGTGATTGTTGTCTACTGGGAACATAACACACACATGTGATATATTTAGCTGTATGTTCTGCTGTTTGGTCTTTGATCTTGTGCAGATCATTCAGTGTCTGAATTTAAGTTCCATCCAGCTGATGTGTATTAGAGTCTGCATGTGTGTGTATGGATGTTCACAGGAGATGCAGACTTGTAAAATATTGTTTGTCAATAAGTGGCCATGTGTCTATGATGTTACACGTGGAGGCGCTGATTGGTTTCGTGAAAAATTCTCTTCCCCTGCAGGTGTTATGTAACAGAGCTAAAATGAGCCTTTCCATGAGTCCAAAGCAAATTTTCACAATTTAACAAAATAAATTGTTTTGGTTATTATCTCTGACATAGAGAACAAAATACTCACCTGGGATGTGCTCTATGTAGGGACAATCAGTCAATAAACCAAATAGAGCTCTTGTTTTTCAAAAAGAAATGGTCTCTCATAATGATGAGACGTTGTTGTTTGAACCCACATATTTAAAAATAGACTTTTCTTAGTTAGTTAGTGCCCAAGCACAAAAGCCAAATGGTCCTTGGAAGTCAGTCATGTTGGATTTTGTGCATTCATTTTCATTTCATGAACTAATGTTTAAGGGCTTTAGGATGCACTTAAATTCGTGAACATTTTCACCCATGTTAAAACTGCCAAAATTTGGCAAACACATCAAAACCTTAGAATATTACGAGAATATACAGTGATTGGTGTCACGTTTGTTTAGCAGGCTCCATAGTGCCCCCTAATGTGTGGGAGGCCTAAGTTGGGACATAGTTGCTCAGATAGAGTGCCACAGGAAAATGTCCTAAAACTCGGAAATGAGTTAGCTTTAAGCACTTCAAGTTCCCTTGTATCAAAGTTAATGGGTTTTTCAATGTTTTTTTGGTTAGATGCCTGAAATGAGATCTGTTGTTAACCGCAGCTTAAAATGTTTCAACGTTTAGTTAAACGATATGAAATACGTCAGTAGATACCCCTCTTTCTTTTAAGCTTTTAAGTGTCTTAAAAAGACGGTTGCTAACAAGTGGCTTGCCTTCAAAGCCTTGTTGTGTATACTCAAACTCATGCGACTGTGGTGTAGCTAACTTTGTCAGTGCGACTGTGGCTAAGTGGAGAGCAGGGTTGTCCTTCAATCAGAGGATCGGTGGTTCGATCCCCAGCTCTGCTAGTTGCATGATGATGTGTCCTTGAGCAAGACACTTAACCCCAAAATTGCTCTCGTAGCTGTGCCTACGGTGTGTGAATGAGTTAGTCTGATAGGCAGGTGTCACTTAGCACCTGCCATCAGTGTGTGAATGATGAAAGCACTTTGAGTGGTGGGAATACAAAGCTATACAGTTCCACTATGGTAAATGGAACTGTATTGTATAGTAGTCTTCTGACTTCTTCAAAGCGCTGTAACACTACATGTCATACAGCCATTCAAACACTGAGGGCTACCATGCAAGGTGGTCCCTGCCCATCAGGACTAAACATTCACACTCCTCCATACACTGCAGGCACAGCAACTTGGGGTTAAGTGTCTTACACATGGACAGGAGCCATTTTATTGCCTAACATTAGCTATTTACTTTCGGCGGTTGTGTTTAGGTTTAAACAATTATTTAAGTGGTGTTAATTTCTGAAGATTATCTTGCTGAGCTAAATATGTAAATAAACGTACTTTTGCCACAATGCTTATTCCATCCATCCATTTACTCTCCGCTTATCTGGGGCCGGGTTGCAGAGGCACCAGGCTTAGGAAGTTATTCCTGATGTCCCTCTACCTAGCAATGCTTTCCAAATCTGCCTGGAAAACCCCAAGGATTTCCCTACATACAAGACATATAATCCCTCCAGCATGTTCATGGGCCTCTTATCAGTCGAACATGCCCAGAAAACCTCTAAAAGGAGGCATCCAGGAGGTATCCTGATCAGATGCCCGAACCCCCTCAGCTGGCTCCTTTCGACTACCGTAAGGAAGCTTACCCAAAGCGCATTACCATAGGTGAGGGTCGGAACATAGATGGACTGGTAAATCAAGAGCTTTGTCTTCCGGCTTAGCTCCCCCTTTACCACAACGATCCAGTACAACACCCGCATCAATGCTGACACAGAGTTACAATTCTGGGGGTCTCCAAACCGCACTCTCTTCTCCCCCCGGCTCCGCCTTGAAATTCTGTCCATGACAATAACAAACTGATTCTGTGAAAAAGGACAACCCTGGTGGAGTTGACTTTGTGTCAGGTATAAGGACACAGCTCTTTGCCATGGCGGGAAACCCTACCCTGAGATATTATCCCCAACAATACAGCTCCCAGGTACAGTGAGGCACAGAAAACCCTCCACCAGGTTAGGGTAAAACAAATCCCATTGGCTTTTAAACAAGGAACCAGTGCGATGCTTACTTCCAAGGTTGGCATTCATTTTACAAACACATCTTTGAGGACTTTAGGAAGCACACAAAGTCATGAAACGTTGCACCCTTGTACAAATGAGTAATCAATTTGAATTTGGTGTCGTAATTTGGCTTGCACTTGGCATGGCTCCATTGTGCACCCTAATCACTTTTAGCATGCAAAGGCATTTTTAACGTCCTCTGTTTACTCGAAAACAGTGATTGAGTTTGTGTTTGTTTAGTGGGCTCCATAGCGCCCCCTAATGTGTGGAAGGTATTAGTTGGGACATGGTTTTAATGTTAGGTCGGATCTGACCGTTGCATAGTCACATGGATGCATTTAATTAAGGTGTCCACCACAAAAAAGGATACTTGACTTTCCATTGCCATTGTTTTCGTGCTGAGCGACATAAAAAAATGGACTATAAGTGTCCCTATACAAGAAACCAATACATTACTGGGCTATTCCAGAACACCCATGCTATATCCAACCATAACTGTTAGCTAGCTAAACATAGCTAACCATAGTGTTCATCATCCATCATTGTATGTTTAACATGTTGACTCATCTTGAGCAAGTTAGCATGATTAATTAGAAGCTACAATTTAACATTAATGTAGCATTTACGTGCTGGTTCTGGAGCTTTTGACCATATCAAATGTTTTTTATCAGCATCTGAAATTTGCTCAACTGTTTGTCTCAACAGTAGAAGTTCTAATGTTCATTATTCTGAGGACTTTAAGGACTTCCCTTCCATATTGGCTTAAAAGTTGAGCTTCACAGCTGACCTGCAGATGAAGACCTGTGTTTCGGTTGAAAGCTACAGAAGAAGCTAGTGAACGGATACGTTCTAAAGTACAACTAGGGTTAGGGAAATACACTTGAATAATTAAAATGTCAAACATTTACTGCATGTGTATTAAATGGTTCTATTGGATGATAATATTTAATGCAGAATAGTTTAATATTTTTGCATCAGGTCTGTAGAGATGGCAGATTTCAGCTGGGCCGGTGTGTGTTGGGGCAGAAGAGGAGTTAGCATTCTGCTGCTCTTTTGGATTTTAGGTGAGTCTTTTCTATGGTAATTTGATTTTTTGTTTGTCTGTGGTACTCATAGAGAGAGTGTATCTGTTTATGGAAATATTTATTGTTCATTCCAGCTTTAGTGCCATCGCTCCTTGATGTTTTTGTCCCGCTCTTTTCAGCCATGCATTCTGTCACATAACTTTTCTATTTCCACCTTTTTCTTAAAGGATGCAGTCCAGATTTTACATTCTTTCTCTCTGTCACTTCCTCCAGCAACATTCTAACTAACCCAAACCTATTTCCATTCTCTACTTGTCTACCAATTGCCCTTGAACTTATTCCCCTGTCTCAATCACCTCACTCCCACATCGAGCCAGTGTTGTTTTGTTTTGTTGTTGTTTTAAGACATCTGCTTTATATAATGACTACTGATGATTACTAATGAATACTTATCCTTTCCTTTTTATTCCCTCAGTCCCTCCATCCTTCATGCAGCCTCCTCTCCCTCTCTCCCTGCCGGTCCACGTGTCGGTTGTCCCTCCAGCCTGGGAGTTCCTCCCTCTGTCTCAGGTGGAGCTGGGCCCTCTTTTCTCCAACTCCACCCCCTTCTCCTTCTCTCAAAGCCTGTTCATGTTGCGCCCACCTGGCAAGGCCCCAAGACCAGGTGTCCAGGCTTCATTTGGCCCTTACTCAGTTACACAGGTATTTGAAAAATGACCACACAGAGATTTGTGGGGAAGTTGACTGATGATGTGAATGTTTACTAATTCTACTGAAACTGCTCAAGCTAACTAGTAACATACCTCTTTATTTTTCCACAGCTCATATCAGAGCCTCTCCTCCCTCTCTCTACCCTTCTGTCCGCCTCTCTCCTCTCAGAGCATGTGGAGAGAGAGAGGGATAAGGGCAGGCAGAAGAGGTTCAGGGTGAGGACGCTGTTCCACAAGCGGGGTGACAACAGCACCCGAGGGACCTGCATCACCCTGCATGCCTTCAAGGAGACTAAGGAGCACAAAGCCTCCTGTATCACACAGGTGAGGACCAGATCATATCTCTACCTAGTGGTTTCGCTCTTTTCTTCTTATTTATTCATTACACCACTTCCCTTTCTTCACTCTTATCCATCTATCCGTCCTGTTTTCCAGCCTCCTCTAGGGCTTTGCGTGGTAACTCTGACACTGCCTAATGATTGGTTTGAGGATCAACACACCAACCAATCACATCAGGATTTGGAAAAGTGGCACAGTAACCCCCACCACCGTCGCCGGATGCAGAAGCGACAACGGCAACGGAAAGGACATCATCACGGCAACCTTGTCAACCACCAGCATACTTCTCCTTCACCGAGGTGATGTTTTAACCACATTATGCAAATTTTAAAGTTCATACTTTTGGGTTTCTACTTGGAGATGTTTATATTGGCTAGCCTATCTTAATAGTTTCTGAAACATTTGGTGCAATGATTTCATTATAGCCTCTGTCAAAGAAGAGCAGGGACAAATCAGTTTGATTCTCTGATGTTCTAAAGTTTTTTTCCAATGAATGAAGGGTAACCAAATGTTAGAAGATTTTATGTTATAACAACATAAAATCTTCTAACATTTGGTTACCCTTCATTCACTTCTTAGAGTCACAAATGTAGTATTTGATTTTTTCTAATTCCACAAAGGAGAAGGTATCTTTTATCCAGTGGGTATGAGAGAGGGACAAGGACTCTTCCGGAGCATCGGAATTGCACGCCTCACTAGCAATGTGAGAACAACAACAACATCCCTCCCTATCTGAACACGCTCTTTCCAAATGGATCTGGGGGCGGTTCAAAAAGGTCAAAGCGGCAACGGAATAAGACCTCCGACAGTCAGCTAGAGTTTTGTACATTCATGCTGTTGTTGAACATGCCCCTTCACCTCCCCCATCACTGCTCAATCTTCGCGTATTTATCAGTCATCATTTCATCAGCCTGCCAGTCTCAACAGAATCATCTACAGCCACCGCCTAAGTCTAAACTCCACGGGGGATTTATCTTGCTGCTGCTAAAGGCAGAAGCCCCTCGACTACAATTGTTCCTGTTGAGTCTAAACTCCGAAGACTCTGTCAAGACTTTATTATCACATATCTCATAAAATAAACAATATTGTTACTTCGCTTTGCTTTGACTCTCCTGATTGAAATGCAGTTCGAATCACTTATAGGGTGAGTAATCAGAACCGAAGAACAATGAACAGTTAAGTTAGTTAACTTGCTTACGGAACTGGGTTTGAGTACAAAAGTCGTAAAGAAAGCACGGGCAGGACATATTGTCTTGGAAGGTGGAAGTGAATGAACCCGGTTAAAGAGTAATCGCCCCTCAGGGATGAGGGTATGAAAAGGTTGTTGCATGAAGCCCATTCTGTTTAGGCAGGAGGAAGAGGTCCATTTATAGCAGGACAATTGTGCATGGACAGAAGTCTCTGAAGCAGTTTCCATGGATCCTTGTTTTCCCTTTATGTTTTGTAGATGATGATGATCAGTTGCCTGTGTGACAAATAAATGTATGCTTTCATTCAGATACCCTCAAGTTGTTGATGAGGACATCCAGGGGCATGTTCCATGGGCCCTCAGATACCAACGGGTTCCCATCAGAAACCAAATACAGCTTTACTACTCCTCCTCTGACACTGTGGCTGACTTAAATCTGACACCACCAGGGTATGTGAATGAATAGGAACATGTAGAGAGATTTTTTTTTTTGCTGCCCTTGAATTAATGTCTTTCTGCCATTCTCCAAAATCTATCGATCTTTTCGACCAATTGACCGTCAATCCAGATGTGTGGAGGACAGAGCAGCTCAGTCTCAGAGGCAGCTCTTCCATATCAAAGCAGTGACACTGAAGGAGGAAGAGAGAGAGCAGAGCAGGACCAAAGAAGAAGAAACATGTTTGAACGGGCAGGAAGAGGAGGAGCTTAGCTTGGACCCCCATGTCATGATTCGCTATCACAGGGGCCCGGTCCTGATAGGACAGCCAATCAGAGTGTCTTTGAATGTGAGAGCTAACTTCAGCAGTGAGCTTGTTGTCATAAGGTAAACACTAAATGATATCACTACAACACTACGTTCACATTCTTAAAATGCTGTTTTGTATTACAGTCTGTATCACTAGCTACCAACCACTCTGATAGTTTTACATTCAAAATCTGTGTCTTCAGGCTGAAGGTGAAGAAGGGCTTGGTGTCCATGGTGGCTCAGAAAACTCTGACCTCTGATCTGTGGGCAGTGACCCTGGAGAGAAGCCAAGGCTCCAAACACGACGTGGTGTCTATCCTGTGCCACAAACACAGCACACACAAGCACACACACAAGTAGGTCAAGAGTTCAATCACAGTAGCCAGCAAACACACTAAATGTCCCCTTATATAGTAACGTCCACACAGCCTGATGAAGCTAACTTGTTTAACAAAGAAAGTTGATAACCACCATCAGGATACCCATTATCACTGATTGGGCACTTAGGTTTTGTTGAGCCAGCTAACACAAAGAAAGCTTGGCTCTGTTGAACCTGCTTCTTAGTACACCCCTTTGTCCATTGCATAAATGTTTCTGGATCCCAAGGTTAATTGAGTGGAGTTGAGGCTAGCTGCAAGCAGGCTGGAGTGAAGACTGGTTGCTAGCAGGCCAGAGGCTAGCTAAAGAGGAAGCAGGGTGGGAGCTAGCAGACTGTGAATCAGGGTTGTTGTCCGATGTGCCAATCTGAGAGCTGCCTCTTTGTACTCACAATCAAAAATTGTACTTTCACCATGTCAGGAAAGTTTGGACCATGACGGATCTATAGATACTAGAAGCTCAGTCTCTGATCTCTGTTGCCCTGCAGTCCCACTTTACTACAGCAGGTGGTGTGTCTGTCAGTCCATGGCCTGAGGCAGAGCTTCGGTGTTGCCATGACGGTGTCTGCTAACTGGTGGGTGGAGTACTCTGGGCATATAAAACCCCTATCGCCACATGGAGCAGCAGTGAGCATCTTCTCATTTGCTGATCGACACATCTTTAGCATCGCTCCCATCACAGAGGTACTTCATCTATTCAGTCATTAATTTAATCCCAATCCAGGGATCATCATTTTTATAATCTTTCAAATTTTTTAAAGATTCATACAATCTGATCTGTTTATACATATTTTTTCTAATCCTCTATCCTCAGAGTAACACAATCATCAACACAGCCATACTGACCAACCAGCCAGTGTCACTTCCTGTCATTGTGCTGGCCATAAACCATAATGGGAAGGTGTCAGATGTCACCTCTGCAGTCACGTGCCACTCTACCAACGAGAACACTGTCAAGGTGCAACGCACTCAAATACAAACAAATCTGTCAAAAGATCAGTCTGATATTTTACAAAGTACAGGTTTGCTCGTTAATTGTGTTACCCAGATTCAGAAGAATAAGAATAATACCTCATAATTGCAGGTCACTCACTGACATTTTGTTTTTCTTGCAAAGATCATAGTGTATTATACGTACTTATCATAGTTGTAATGCATTATGATAATTTTAGAATATATTATAATTACTGTTATAATGCATTATAATGTGATTAGAAGTTACTCTAAGTGGTCATTTCTGGGGCGGTTATAGCTCAGTGGGTAGAACCTTTAACAACAAGGTTGGCGGTTCAATCTCCTACTGTCTGTATGTAGAAATGTCCTTGAACAAGAACCTCAAGTTGCTCCCTGGCGCTTTACCGCAGCCCACTGCTGCTCAATGCTGAGAATGGTTTCAGTGCAGAGGTCAAATTTCATATACAGTATGATGTACCTGTATGTACCTGTATGTATGTAATGATTGATATAACGTTTAAGTCACTGGATGCTTTAAGTGAAGGGAAAATTATAAAAGAAATGGAGAACTCCAATTTGACACAACTTTTGATGAACAGTTAAATGATTGACATTTACATTTAACTATTGTAATGTTTCCCCAAAAACTCCAAAGAAGGTTGACTCAAAGTATAGAAAATACCTGAAAAATAATTATGTTTTATCTGTAGCTGTATACAACGGGTCATAACAGACAATTATGGTAAATGGTAAATGGACTTGCTTTTATATAGCGCCAAGTCCTCTGACCACTCAGAGCGCTGTATACTTCATGCCAACCCTTACCCCATTCATGGAAAGATTCTGTTGGAAGTTTGTCCCAGCGGATATAGCTAGATTACTCAGTAACTACAGCGCAATGGGCTGATTTTATTTGGAAATTATAAAGTGTGTTTTAATGTATGCACTGCCATGTTGAATCTCCCTAATGCTGTTAAGGTTATACCAAGGTTGGTAGAACTCATACCATGTTCAATGATGTGGTTATTTGTGCTAAACTGATATTTGGTCTCCTGACATCTGGGTGTTTGAAAGTTTTTTTTAAGTAGTCTTTTTCATTTTTTTATTTAACCTAAAAGTTAAATATTCAGTAAGCTGAGATATTATTGCCTCATGAAGTTGTTATCGCTAATGTTTCAGCAAACAGCTTATTTTCACATCCAGCAGACACAGAGCAATATTATTATTCATTTGGAGTCATGTTTGGGTCCATCTAATGGATGTAAGTCCAAAATCCACTTCAAAATATTTGGCTTTTTAGCTGCTAAATGACCACTAAAAAAACAGCTGCCTGCTGCTGCTGTCTGTGAAACCAAAACAATAACCTGAGAGAGGCTTTAAAAAAACGCCGTAGAGGCGAAGGGAAATACAGAGTTGGTGATAGTTCTCTGTGGGTTCGTTACTACAAGCAACATCTTTCACATTACACATTTAACTAATTGATGATATAATTATATTGATTACTGGACTTTAAATAAGTGATATCATTACATTTTAACATTCAATTAGAACAAAACAAAAGGTATACTGAATGTACTACATGTACTGACTGTACTATTGTCCTTTAATTGTCCTTTAATTTAATAGTCTTCTCCAATTGTCTTCTGTATGTGTCCTTCATAACCACAGGTGTCCAGTGATTGCTCAACCCTCTTTGTGGATGGCAGCGAATCAGGGTTGGGTAACACCTGTGCAGTGGTGGAGTTTCTACTGGGTGCGCTTCGTGGCTCTGTGTGTGTGGAGGTGTGGGCTCCTTCAGTGCCCCTGCGAGTGTCCTTGGCAGACCCTGTTCTCAACGCCATCGATGGCTGGAACCACTTCACAAAGACAGGGTAGGAGACAGCCCCATTGTGTCTTTACTGTGGTTTATTTAGCCTCTTATGCAACAGAGCAATCACTCGTTTTTGTAACTCTTCTCCAAAGAGGGTTTAAAAGAAAGGCCATCACAAATAGATATAAAGGAACAGCCATGACACTGAGCCTTCTACACTACAGTGTTGACTGTGTATGAATTTGTGATGTCTCACCTTAATCTCTTTGTGGTCCTGTGGTGAGTGTGCTGAATCAATTCTCCTGTTATCACCGTTGTGATTTCTTAGAGACCAAGACCAAGACTGCCAATACAGTTTAGTTGGTGGATATGGAAATAGACAAGATAATCAAGAAATGTGGCCTGACCACATTTCAAACTAGAACTAAAACACATTCACATTTGAAAGGCATATTCTTTTTTGATAATTATAACTAATTATTAACAAAGTTTAAATGTAATGACCATTTTGGGTCAAAATATTTAGGAGAAGAGAAGCCTAAGCTATTTGTCTGAGGAGGGATCCAAATGATCCTGAAGTTTGCCATTAAATTGATCCAGATCTCTGGCTTAAATTTTGAAATACCCAAATGTGGATTTTTGTCCGGATTAAAGGTAGGATTGGATCACCAAATCTTAAATTAAAATCTTCAGGATCAGGATTCCTTGGATCTGTATATACCCAGTTTTCAGATCAGATCCGAGTTTAATCCAATCCAACCAATATAATCTTGTGTTATCATTTTGAAATACTGACCCCTGTCGATCAATTGCATAGTGTGAAAGCATTTACAGGAAAGTGTATCTTATCACCCATGTTTATCTGTGCGGGAAAGTCCACCCTTTTGTGCATGTGCAACAAAGTCAAGACCCACTCGTAGGAAAACTGCTCCATAGCGCTACTAGAGGTCAGAAACGTCACAGGAAACCTGAGTCTGAGATCGAAGCTTAATATGTTTGACTTGTGATGGATTTTCTGATGGATTGTGACACAAGCATGATCCTATGCATCTGTGTATTATCTCACAGACACACTCCGATAACATAAGGCATTTAGCTCTTCATGTGTGTCCTGTCTCTTCAGGTGTGTACCAGTTTATCAACGCTCCTCCATTCAGGTTCTGACTCAGTTTACAGCTCAGGATTCTTATAGCAGAACCACACACCTCCTGGGCTCATCTGATTGGTTCGTGGATGTTACAGAGCTGGTCCGTAACTGGCTGAGAGTCGAGGACCCTCGAGTGGCTTCCCTTGGCGCCCAGAACAACCTGATTGGTTTACAACCAGGAAAGACATCACTCCATGTAGGTGATAGTTGTACATCAATTCCCTTTGAACATCTTCACCTACTGAGCATCATCATTATCATCTTTATCCACTGTCTCTTTCTCTCAGGTCGTCTCTGAGCAGTGGGATGGCGTGCTGGGCAGATGTGACATCACTGTGACCTCTGACCCCGTTACTCCTGGGGACCTGTCTGTGCAGGTTGTCAGCGGTCTTGGCATGTCAGTCACAGCTAACCCAACCCACGCTTCCATTGTAACAGCAACAGTAACTGCCTACAACATCCTGTACAACCATCACCAGGTGACTGAAAGGCGATTTATGATAATTGATTTGGGCGTCTGTGGCTCAGAGGTAGAGAGGGTCATCTGTCAATCAGACCTTGGTAGCCCCTGTCATCAGTGTGTGAATGGGTGTGAATGGATGAATGACATGTAGTGTATTGAGTGGTTGGAAGACTAAAAAAGGCGCTATACCATCCATTTACCTTGGGAAGGCACTTTGAATTCCCAATCAAAGCAAGTGTTCAGATAATAGCATTTAAAGTCAGTTGAAGACTATTAATATGAAACATCTGTGCAGGAAGTGTTGCGTTTCATTGACAGTAGCTGAGCACTGAACAAAAAATGGTAAGGTAGAACGACATGTCTGGTTAATAGTTTGTTTTTTATTTATCAAGACAACAGTTAATTGTGAAGGAAGTGTTGAGTTTGTATAAATTAAAACAAAAAAACAGATCAGAAACCATGGAGGCTTCTACAAAAATCTGACCAAAAATGCTTATAAAAACAGGGTACATTATTAATAAAGGCCTGGTCCTCTGTGAAGTAAATTAAGGCCACTATTAAAGAATTTGCACTTTATTGTTGAAAACACCTAGCTAACTTATTTAAAGTAACAATGTGAAACAGTTAAGAAGACTTGTCAGACCTAATTTTAGTTCCATTCATATCCTGTTGTGTCTCTCCAGGAGGCTTCCATCAGTGTGTGGGTCCAGTTCAGTGACGACACCGCCTCCCTCCTCTCCTCCTTTAGCGACCTTCCCTTTTTCCTACGTCTCTCGTCATTGGCTGAGACGGTGGTTGTTGTGGTGCCCGGTTCCAGCCCACGCATCTTAGCCCAGGGGGATGGAGGCGGGCCTTTACTGCCTGCAGAACTTCTGGTTTCAACCTGCGCTGACCAGCCAATCACCTCCAACTCTATCAGTGAAGGACACAGGGATTGGACGAACAATGGAGGAGGCGGCGGGACAAGGAGGCTGGCAAGAGGATCTGGTTGGATAAGAGTCAACCTAGACCTGGGCTTCCTGCAGCCAGCAGGGGACAAGGATGATGAGCGGGAGAAGTTTGAGTTTGACATTTCAGGCACGCTGGGTGAATCAGACAGCGATATCTATGCATCGAACTTTGACGAAGATGAAAGTGAGAACGTAAACAGTGACTACTATGACAAAATCAGTGGGAAGAGACCTGAGAGACATTGGAACCAGGTGGGGTACGGAGAGATGGTCAGTCGGAACAATCTGGAAAGAGCTGTGCTGATGCCCAGCCAGGAGGAGGGCGCTGTGTACTTCTCCCCTAGCCAGGAGAAAGACGGAAAGCGGGAGGAGGAAGATGAAGGACAGGGAGCTAGAGAGCTGGAGATGGGTGTGGGTGCTGTTCTGGCTCTGCTCTGTCTCTCTGCTGTCCTCTTCCTGGTAAACTGTCTGCCCTGTGCCCTGCGAGACAGAAGGAGGACAATGATGGAGGAGGAGAGGGAAGGAGAACTAGAGGGAGGTACAAAGGAAGACGAGGAAGAGGAGAGAAAGAAGAGAGAAGGTGAAGACAAGATAAAGCAGCAGCATGAGACGAACAATAAAGAGGATGTTAAAGAGGTAGAGATCATTTGCTGATATATGCACAGGCCAAGCTGAATTTAAGCTCAAATCTGTACTCAAAAGTAACATGAAGTGAATTATTGTAACAGCATGCTATCTTCCTGTTGTATTACACTAAGAGACAAATGGAAACTGTCTCCTCCAAAATGACTTCCCATGCAACTAAACTGCACACTCAATTACATTTCGAAGGAATTGTATTTTCCTCCGAACCGAACAGTTTGAAAATGCTACAAAAATACTTTCTTAGCTTTATAGGCAACAAAACTACTTTGTTAGGTTTGGTAAAAACGGTTTGGCTTAAAATAACTAGGATATTGAAACAGGACAAAAATGCCACAAAACAACTACATTTACACAAGACACAACCAGCAATCCCCCGGTTTAAGCCCTGTGCTTTCTGACCTATCCAACCCCCTGACCTCCTGAGAATCACTTATTTGTGAAACATCAAAAGGAAATAGAATCCACGACAAAATATGTTTCCCTCCTAAAGTAATTCACAATGCAGTTTTGTTGAATGGTAACATAATTTTTAGCAGACAGGGCTTAACCATGACATCACTTTTTCACATCTTCAGAGCCAAGCAACAGAAAATGTGCAGTCTGGATTCTGGGCCTCAGCTAAAACTAAAGTACTGGCCCATTTAGCATCCTGAACACAATTTTTTTGCAAAATCGGTTTGTCCTTTTCTGTCACTCTTTTTTTTGACTTTGAGCTGCTATGGAGGTTAGGTGTTTGTCCCAAATATAAACACTTTTATTCATTCTCTTTTTCCTGAGTTTGGACATTTTACAAACTGTAAAATGTGCCCCAATAACAATGATACTACTCTAGAAAAAACCAAACCAGCTACTCATATAAACTGAGAGCTCCCTGCAATAATCCTGCTGACACAATAGAATACATTATATCCAAAACGATTCTGTAAAAAATAATAATATAATAAATAATTAAAACTACTAAAATGTATCAAGCCATTGGAGGGTTAGTCCAGAAAGAGGCCCAGCGTTTAATAAACAAGGGGTTGTTGTTAGACTCTTTTTTGTTCTGTTCCTCGGGCAGCACCTTGGTCAGAGGTGAACCACTTGAAGGCGTTGCTTCTCCATAGAACATACACTGACAACATTGTGTAAACTCGTTTTTTTCTGGATGATTAGTGATTGCTATGTATCATGGAATAGTAATACTTTCTATGAAGCAGTTGTAGATTGCTAACATGTTAGGACTCACCCCAAATAAGTTCAGCTACCCCAGGAAGGGCTGACACTGCTGGTGCTTTCAACGGTTTCATCTCGTTATTGTTAAACTGATCCAATTTACTTGTACCTCTGTACCCTATTTTTCTGTTCCCTAATGAAAATTAAAAATACTACTATACCAAGACTTACTATACAAGACAGTTTTTTTTTTCGACACACTATACAACATTTTTATGACTTTTTCAAAGTACTGTACTGTGACTTTTTAAGACTTTTTGACATGCTATACTTTGACTTTTTTATTACCCGTTCAGCGCACTATGCTATTGCTTTTTATGACTTTTTAACATACTGTATGATGACATTCTTGACATGATGTACTATGATTTTTTTAAATAACTTTTTCGACATAATATACTATGTCGTTTTATGACTATTTGAACATACTTTAAAGACTTTTTAAAACTCCTTTGACAAACTATACTAGGGATTTGTATGACTTTTTTACATGGTATACGATAACTAACATAAAATACTATGATCTTTTCTTTATTTTACATACTATACTGTGCCTTTTTTGAAAGACTATACTGTGACTTTATTACTTTTTTTTTGAAGTGCTATACTATAACTTTGTTTACTTTTTTTGACATGCTATAAAATTAATTTTTTGATTAATTTCGACATCCTATACTTTTTTACATACTATATTTCAATCAGGAGAGACTTCATTAGAATTTAACAATGATTTATTATACATGCATATAAAATGAATAGTGCAAAGTCTTTGGCGATTGGACACTCAAAGTAATACAACCGAGGGTAGTGATGCTGAGGTCAGATAAGGCAGAATCCCCCTGGAGTCCAGATACTGGTGGTGGAGAGTTTTTGTTCACAAATCAATAATAAAGTCTTAACAAGATTCAAAGTTGTCTTTGTCCGTTTATTCTCTTGCAAGAGGGAAGAAAACACAACAGCTACATATTCAGTACTGTGTGAATGCTTCAAAATATGTAACACACAGGCTCCTTTATTTATACAGCGACAAGTTATTTCTCAAAAGTGCAGCACCCACTTGTCTGCTGCATCCAGCTGACTTCACAGCTTCGATACATTCAAGGTAACATGAGGTGTTTCAACCACCAGTTCTGATTACTGCTTAGTCTGCACTTTCTTTACTCCATGTAAGGAACAAGTTGTTCTTGCCACTTTGCAAGTAGATTTGCTACTTTTCCAGTAGCCATTTTCCTCAATAGATGACACGTACATTTTCGAGTTCACATCGAGGACACAAAGTTCAAATGCATATTTTTACCATTAGACAGACTATATCATTGCTTTTTAAGACATGTATTTGACATTAAAAACTTTGGCTTTTTTTTATGAAGTACTATAAAAAAACTTTTTAAGACACGTTTGACATACAGTACTTTGGCTTTTTCAGGACTTTTTCAAGCTTACTATATTATGACTTTTCATTACTTTTCTGACAAACTATATTATGACTTTTTATAACTTTTTTTAACAAACTATTCTATGGCTTTTTATGACTTTTTTGACATGCTTTACTATCATTCTTTCATAAATATTTTCAACACGCTATACTACGACATTTTTGAGAAACTTTTCCATGACTTTTTACGTCCTTATCCAACATACTGTACTGTGCACTGACTTATTAAAAATAATATACCATGGCTTTTTCATGACTTTTTGAAATACTAATGGGACGGGCGCCAGCCGGCCAAAAGCAGACTGGCAGCTAGCACGCTGGATGCCTGCAGGTTAAGGAGCAGGCTAAAGAACAGCATTTTCGTGGCAAGGATGGTGGTAGCTAGGAGGCTGGAGTCTAGTCTACCGCGGTCCTGGCTGGAGGCTGGCAGACTGGGAAGCAGAGTGGAGGATAGCGTGGTTCCCAGGAGCTCTTTGTTCCTAGATAGACTTTTCTAGCCAAAGCCTGGAAGAAACCTCACAGAGAGATCTAGTTGGAGATGTCATCTTTTCCACAGCATTATAGTTGTTGTTGCTGCAGTGCAGAAGGCTGTTAATATTATCTAGTATTACCTTCTGAAATTCAGCAGCTGTGTCCATGTTTGTAAATTCAGGACTGAACCCAAATGCAGAACAGGCAGATGAGGAGGCAGAAGACGGTGTTCAATGATTTAATGTTCAAAGAAACGCACACATATATACCACATATTCCCTGCTCCCTTCCATTCTCGCTAAGTAGTTAATGAACGATGCTATTATCCTTATTTCCTTCACCATTTTAGTAGCGCAACCAGGGGTGCACACATGATATTTCTATGTTCATTTACACACATTCACAGAGGCATGATTCACTTCTATGTGTTGAAACGCATCATGTTTTCCCGTCGATGAGTTTGCTTGGCAAAACAGGGGCGTAACATTGTTCTTTATTAGACAGTGTGTTGTTGTGTGATTTTGTGAACTGCATAAGTTTCTTGTTTGTAATATTAATTAATCCATTTTGGTCAAAGGAAAAATGTTCATGAAATAAAGATAATCATGTTTTTGTATCTTCTTCAGTAAATATTAAGCCTTTAGTGAAAGGAGCGGTCAGACCAGGGCCAACTAACACATCAAAGCAAAACCCTCAAATATAATCAAGAAACCTCCCACAAAAACAAATCCACCCCCGATACAATTCTTAAACATTGATAAAGCATTTGATCAAATGTGGCACAACGGATTACTCTACGAGACAATAAACTCCAAATACCATTACCCTTCTACAACATCATTTCAAGCATCACCTGAAATCATCCTCAAGGTTAGCCAAACATACTGTACATCAGATCAACACCATCCAAGCCAAAGCAATACAAATGGCATACAGACTCCCACAGTACATCAGCACCCATTACATCCACAGTATGTCCGGAATCAAAACCATGTAAGAGAGAAACTTCATCCTCACAGAGACACACAGAAAGCTCGCCAACAAAGAACAATGGGCCACTGAACAAAACAAACTACCATAACCATCAGAATCCAAATCCCACCACCAACAGTCCCCCACGAGTCCATTCAACCTCCTTTCATTTAGATTCCACACACCTCATACATTATCTTTCTAATCATCGCTCTCTTTTAGTCATCCATCATTTCTTGATTTTTCAATCTCCCATCTCAAACATACACATATTAGCTAAGGGACCTGCTTTCATCCCTCTCTGATCTAGTCGTCCACCATTATGCAAGTTATTGTTCTGACCAAAGAGCTTCACGCTTTTACACTCGTCAGCTCCCTCTGAAGTTGTGCTCATCAGTAAAATCACCACTTTGGTTGCAACGCAAACCAGCAGACTCTCCATTTGAAACGTTTCATTTCATGACCGACACAAATAACTTGGATTCCACTTCTACCAGAGAGTCACAGGAAGCATTGAAGCACCTTTCCTTAGCCTTTAGGGTGCCACTTCCAGGTCATTCATAACCTTCATGAGTAAAAAAGACGAATCCACCTCAGAACTAAAATGCATCTCGAGGATCGAGGAGGCTTGCAGGAGGAGCTCTTTGTGTAACATTGTGTATCTTGGCTGAAGTCTTTTCAGCATTGGTAACAAATTAAAGAGGCGCGACACACTTCTGGAATAATCTCAACCATGGCAGGACTCTACAAATGTAACAGTTCCTTTTTAGTTCATAAGTTGTGGTTATCTAAGGTGATCAAACTGTCTGACCTTCAGTTTGCGTAGCTCCTCGTAAGGCTCTGTTCTAACCACATTTCACCTGATAGTTGTTGTTATACTGAATGTGGGCTACATCAACTGACATTATCCTGACATGATGTTTAGAAGTGCAAAAAGCTAACATACTCTTGAATTCAGCACTAATTCAATTCATGTTTTGATGTTTTAGTGTAGATTATAAAATAGATTTCTCACATATTTTGAAATATTGCGCAACATAGGGTTTAATAGAGTTGAAAACCTCCACTAAAACTATAAAAGCAAAAAAAACAGTTCATTTAATATTAATCCTCCTTAACACATTTTGCTTTACTCACCACTTTTATTGGTTTTGCACATTTCTTCATAAAGCCAACGTAGCATCATTTATAACCTGAAGTAAAAGTAACTTTCTTTTTAAAGAGGTGTCTGTGTGAAATGTTCCACGTATGACAACTTTATATTTGAAAGCCTCTGAGCTCTATTTCTGAACAGTTTTGAAAACATTCATCATACATCTTTGTGTCACTTTTCTCAGATTATCTTAACCATCAAGTTCTATGCACTGCACAAGAAAGCACGTGTAGGCTAGTTTAGAACAAAGGCACTATGAAACAGTGTTTTAACCTTTTTTTTTTAAACAATAAATCATCACAAAGTAGTAAGAAAAAAAGAAAAAAAACATCACAAAAATAGTTTGGAATTGCTAACAGATTTTTGCTTTAAAATACATTCTGGGTATATAATGTCTTTTTGGAAAACATCCCTTAAACAGAGAAGATAAAACACTTGACGTTGCTGCAATATGCACTGAAATACAAGGACCTTCCCTTGTGAGCAAGTTTGAGAAACGTGAGTCTGTTTTCTGTCCGTCTCCTCAATCTGCTGAGACACTGAAAGATAAGAAAACAAACAGAGCACATGAATGCCTCTGGATTAGTCTGAGAGTGAGTAACACCTCACGCAGTCAGAACTAGGCATTTAGGACTGGATGGAAAGAAATTAAGTATATAAACTACAATTACAGCTTCATGGTTCTTATTACCATGTTGTACTTTACATCTGTCCAAAATGTCCTCACTTCATCATTTTATACATTTGTGTGAAATTGTGATATGAATATTTTAGGTATAGCCAAAAACTTGTTTTCAGGTCAGTTATAGAGGTTGTTCCTAGCTTTATTCAAGAGCATGTTATTTAGCTCCTGCTTGCGCTTGGATTTGCTCTGCTTCTGCTCAAACTGTATACTCGCACTCAGATATTGTTGCTTACAATAGAATGCCAGGTGTAGTGTTGACCAATGAAATGATCCCCGCCTCATTCATTCAAAAAAAAAAAAATATATATACACATATATATATATCTATATATATATATATACACACATATATATATACATATATATATATACATACATATATATATATACATATATACATATACATATACATATATATATATACATATATACATATACATATATATATATACATATATACATATATATATATACATATATACATATACATATATATATATACATATATACATATATATACATATATACATATACATATATATATATACATATATACATATACATATATATATATACATATATACATATATATATATATACATATATA